CGCATGGACGGGCCCCTGCCCTACCACAAGCGCCACTACATCGCCATCATGGTGAGGATGAGGGGTCCCTTGGGCTGGGGGGTTCTGGGGGGGTGTATGTGGTTCCAGCACCTCCACTGAGTTTTTGTCTGGAGGTGGGAAGGGGTTTGGGATCCCATGGATGGGATTCCTCTTGGGTCTGTGGTCCCGGAGGCTTGGAAATCCCTTTGGGGTTGATGCTGGGGTGCACACCCTGGGTACCCCAGCACCCCTCCCCTCAGGGTGTCAGGGGACCAGCACTGATGGGGGAGTGGGTAGAGACCCCTGTCTGGATGCTCATCCCTAGGGAAGCCCTTCAAGGGGGGGAGTGACTACCTGCCTTGGCTTCTCCAAGGGCTTGTAGCAGGGTTGGGTGGCCCTCCACCAGTGCCCAGGGCTGACCGCCTGGCTCTCTCCGCAGGCAGCAGCCCGGCACCAGTGCTCCTACCTGGTGGGTTTGCACATGGGGGAGTTCCTGCAGGTGGGGGGGAACCCGGCGTGGCTGCAGGGGCTGCACTGTGCCCCCCAAAAACTCAGGAACCTCAACGAGATCAACAAACTGCTGGCGCACCGGCCCTGGCTCATCACCAAGGAGCACATCGAGGTGAGAGCTGGTGCTGCTGGCACAGGTCGTGTGTGTCCCCACCCCGAAAACACACACTGTTTTGGGGGGAGCTTGACCCCAGGGACCACATCCCTGCTTGCACAAGCCCCCCCAGGTTTAACCCTTACAGGACTTAGGGGGTCTCTGAGCTGGAGGGCAGGGTCTGTGCTGCTCCCCATGGATGGGGAAGGGGCGACTTGTCCCAAACACCCTCCGGTCTCCCTGCCCTTGGCATATGCTGGCTCTGGGGTGCAGTGGGGGGGTCTCTCCAACCCCGTGTGCTTCACAGGCTCTGCTGAAGACGGGGGAGAACAGCTGGTCACTGGCAGAGCTGGTGCAGGCCCTGGTGCTCCTCACCCACTACCACTCCCTCGCCTCCTTCGTCTTCGGCTGCGGCATCAACCCCGAGGAGGACCAGGATGGGGAGCATGGCTGCCGACCCCCCTCGCCCCCCAGCGACAGCAGCACTGCGTGTGATGACAACATGGGGGGCTCTGGGGTAAGGGGGGGGTGTGAGATTTGCCTTGCGGGGATGTGGGGTGGGAAGTGGGGGCGTGGTGGGTGCTGGACTGCTTTATGGTGCTTCCTCTGGGAACTGCCCTGAGGCCTTTTATTGGGAACAGCAGATGCTTCAGGGCTGTGCAGTAGCACCCTCCGTGCAGTATCCCAGCCCCTGGGAGACCCTGGTCCCAACTGCCCCTGAGTCCCCAACATCGGAAGGACACGGAGCTGTTGGAGCAGGTCCAGAGGAGGCCACGGAGA